CCCAGACGAGGGGTCACCCAGTAGCCACCGGGCAGAAACTAGAGGGGGCTGCACCGGCGTGCCCGCCGGCTCCGCCGGCAGCCAGCTGTGCCAGAGTGAACCGAGCCGCAGGCACAGAGGCCGGAGGCCCGAGGGCCCTCCGCGCCCCGGAAGAGGCCTGACTATCTAAATCTAGATTTCAAGTTTTTATCAGTTATTTTTTAACTTCAGAGCATCATTTTCTAAGCAGCACTGGCCTGTGGTGATCACATCGAGGCTGCAGGTTTAGTCCTGGTTTCTATAAAGATGACGGATTACTCTAAATGTGCTCTCTCTTGTGTTGAGGTTTGGGGAAAAACAAAAAGTTTGATGTCTGTGTGCAACTGACAGGAGAGGCTCTGACACAGAGCAGCCTGCTGGAGGCAGACGGTGAGAATGGAGACAATATGGTCACCATGACAACAACCGTGGAACCCATGAATCTTCACCACGCCATGCTGAGATCACCAGGTAGGCGTTTGAACAAGTATGACAGGGAAAAAAAAAGGCAGTTCATAAAGAGTGGATTTAAAAAACACCTAACACATCTGACAATGCCGTAGCCCTGCAGTAAACTCTCATTTGGTGAAGCTCGTAATGTTCTGTTAATGTCAGGGATGCTGAGTCAACTTGTGGTGTCACTAATGTCCCATTAAGTGTTTTTCAGGGAATGAGTCTTTTGATAACGGCGGCTACACTCAGGCTGTGTAGACTTGTGTTTGCTCGAGTTTTCATGTCTCTGAAATTTCACATTTAGGCTGTTTCCAGCAGTTCAGCTGCCACTCTTTGCATTGTACCTGTTAAATAAATAAGATTAAAAACGAATTTGTAAATAACATCGATAACCTCATGCTGGTAATAATAAATTCACTAGTGTAGCACCGCTGCTTGCATGTTAGTTTTGTTTTGAGTGTTCGCCCACCTCTCAGGTTTTGTTTTTTGTTTTTTTTAACCAATCAGCCATAAAATGCTGATGCGGTATTGTCATCACCCCGCAGCACAGGTGGGCGATGTGGACACGATTACTCAAGATCAAGGCGACATGGGATTCTAAAATTCATACCATAGGTGCATCTACCACAACTCTTGACCTTGACCTCAAGATCAAGGTCAGAGGTTAAGCTTTCAGAAAATCATC